ATATATATATTATATTTAGTACACATGTACCGACGTTAAAGCAGAAGCAATCTTTGTTTTCTTTTTCTTCTTTTTAATATTATTTATATCATTTATTTGTAGCTTAGCTATAATAATTTTTCTTATCTTTCTTGTTATACAATTGTACGGTTGTTTAACCCTTTGCACTCTGCAAAACTTTCGACGCTGGGTTACAGCAACTCCGCGCGACTTAGCGGCAGAAACGACACATTTACAGACCCTCGTATTATTTAATATAACTTTGGAATTAAGAAACGGATTCTAATGATATTGGACTTATATTAATCTGTAAACATCAAGGAACATATTTACCTAAAGAACTTTTACCAAAAGAACTTATTTACCAAGAGAATGTGTGTGTGTAATAGCGTTGCAATTGAAAAAAAGCGAGCGCGTTCCATTGTATTTATTTGAAATGTGACACTATTTGATAATATTTCTTTGTATATTATAAATCTCACTATAAAATGCGAAATATGCAACTATAAAAACCTTTCTTCTACAAATTTTTCTTATCGCTCTTCTCAAGTTCGGTCAAAAAGTTTTCAGATCGTCGTGAGCACGCGTCTCGCATTCTCTTCCAACACAAAAACCGCTGACATTTTTTTTTATATATCTTTGTTATTTTACTATATTTTGATTCGATGTCTTGTGCTATTTTAAGAGAAAACATCAGGGAAACATGCATGTTTCAAAAAGTTGTGCTGAAATAATTTAATTCCCTGTAATCATTAGTAAACTTGAATGTCTCATACGTTGAGACATTGGAGTGATAGGCTAGAGTCACGATGTCCCATACGGTGAGACAGTGGAGTGCAAAGGGTTAAAGTACATTAAAAAGTAAGAGTTAAAAGATAATAATTAATTATTCGAATCAATTAGACGGATTATCTTTGAATAATTGATTATTTGAACCTTTTATTTTGATTTTCATTTTAATCTTCATTAATCTCTCACTAACATTCATTTTAATTCATGGAATTTGAATATATATATATATAGAATTTTTATCTATATATACGTATATATATATAGATAATGAATTTATTGTTCTCTATTTAACACGTCGTCCAAGAATTATTATTTAGCAATCGAGTGATAATGTAAAAGCTAATCTAATCGTGAAGAATAAAATCAGTGATATTAATCATTCGTTTTTATAAAATTGCGAACGTTTCCAGGGTAATCAATTCAAATGCACGTACACTTACTTATTACTTACTGATAAGGTACGTATGCTATATTACGTACTTATTAATATTTATATTACTTTTTACGACGTGACAAAAAATAAAAATGGCAACCATTTCTGGGTTTTTTTTTTTTTTTTTTTTATAACTCTTTGAATTTTATCGATTATTTTTTGTACGTTTTTTTTTTTCTAATGATAGGAATAAATGTGAAATGAAAAATACTTACTCGTTTTTTTTTTAATATTTTTTTTATATCATCTCATTAAATCATCTCATTTAATAATTTATAAGTTTAAAAGAGAAAATAAAATTGTTTGCATGTTTAACAAATTTTGATTCGATTTAATTTGATAGCGTTAAAATTTATTTACTGAGGAGAAATACCATTTTGATTTACATAAAATTTCATGAAATTTCATTTTCTCAGCAAGATGGTCGCTTCCAATGACGGATGTTCTTGCTGTACGTTATGGAGATGATTGGATTCATGGTGTTAATGTTAAGGAAAAACAAACTTCGACTTCACCCACATCACCAACAGTTTGCCCAACGAATTTTATATTACATTATGCCGTGGCAGGACCGAAAAATAAATGGAGTCATCACAGTGTTACCATGAGCCATACCGATCCTCGTCAAGTTGCTTCTTGGGTCAAAACCATTCGAAATTATCTTTTAGGTGAGTATTTTCTACACAATTTCTAAAACTATTTCATTAAAAAAATCCAAGCAAAAAAGAAAATAACAGGCACGTCAATTTTCTTGGAATGAGAATATATCGATGACAACGATCGTTTATTATCACTGATGAAGATAATTTTTTTTTCAAAGTTAATTATAAGATTGAAGGAAGAAAAAACACTCACTTTGCAAGAGAGAGAGAGAGAGAGAGAGAGACAATCGACTTTTTCTTTTTTTTAATTACTCAAGAATAAACAAAAGAACAAGGTGGAAAAACGAGAGATCGTCTCTGAGTATTTTAATTGGCTTATTAAATTTTTATGTTATTGGTTGGAAATACGATTACGTCAACGATGATAAGCTGTTTGTTTAAAAAAAAAAAAAAAAAAGAAACTTGCTTTTATTTTCATTTGTTTCCTTATTTTTCTTCATTTATTTATATATTTATTTTTCTTCTGCTTGTTTCTTTTTTTAGCAAAAATAAAAACATAATTATAGTAAAGCAACGCTTAGTGTATTGTTGGTTTTATTTTTAGTGTGTTGCTCGTGTACATTTATAAAAGAGAGAGAGGAACAAGACTCGAATATATTTTACATTTTACGTAAGCACGAAAGCAATTGTACCTCAATTGTTTTGTAATCATGCATTTTTCATGTACTTTACTCCATCAACAGTATACTTCATTGTAAAACTAACGTCTTACTCGAGTATTCTTAACAAAAAATAATCTTATCTAACTGTAATTCAAGTTATTATCGTTTGTTCATTTTGCGAAATCTCGAATCTAAATAAAACTATTAAATTATTTTACAAAAGAATAAAAGTATTAGCTTGAAATTCAGCTTGAAATTCAGCTTGAAATTGTGTAAGACGATTAAATTTACGGAATTTATACGAATGGTATACGATATAAACGTGCGATGTTTGTTCATAAATTTTTTTGTAACCAGAATACGATTATCGGCTGATGACAACATTTTGTTTTGTAAATTTGTGTAATTTTCGTCTTATCGACATTTTGCTTTCAAACACATTTCCGCATTTTGATACGTTGCTAAATAAAATGTTTTAATTATTTCAATATTTATCGTTTCAGGTATGACATATCGTCCACGGAAAGTGATGTTATTCGTTAACCCTATAGGTGGTAAAAAGAAGGGATTGAAAATATGGGAAAAAGATGTACAACCTTTGATGACCATCGCTGGTATCGAAACGAAAATGATTATTACAGAAAGGGCTGGACATATACGTGATACTCTGCTTACGTCAGATTTGAGTGATCTTCACGTAAGAAACGTATTTTTTGTTTCATATTTATAAATCTTAAAGTATATACAACCATCAATTATTGATAAAGAATGTTAAATGTTAAATAAATTCGATTTCCACACATTCGTCTTGTCATGATAAACGAGAATATCTATTTCGGTTGAACGTGGTAAAACTAGAGTAAACATTGAAAAATCGAAATTGCATTAAAAATTAATTGCGTTCTACTTTACTTTCCTTATTAAAAATGAAAAATGTTAAGACTAACGTGCTCACGATATTTTTATCGATTCACATTACGATTCTAATCGGTTTTTTTCTTTTCTCTATCTTTCTTATTGTTCTTTCAACAAGTATGTAATTATTCTATAGCCATGTTATAAATGTAACTTTGACGTATTTGAAAAGTTTCTTTCTATAAGTAGTCTTATTGATAGGATCGATCGATGAATCTAACATCGACCTTGACATTGGATGTTATTGAACTAAAAAAATCTTTGTAGTTTTTTTCTAGTTAGAAGTTTGTTTTTGTATTGTAGGCGATAGTTTGTATTGGCGGTGACGGTACGTTTGCTGAAGTTTTCAATGGTCTGGTCTTGAGAGCTGCCAGGGATCAACAAATCGATCCAGACGACCCAGAGGCAAGACTGCCAGCCCCTACTCTACCTATTGGTGTAATACCTAGTGGAAGTACCGACACCGTGGCCTATAGTTTGCATGGTATTTTATTTTTCTTTACTTATACCTTCAAAGTAACCTCTTACACTTTATGTTAAACCTCTGTTCATGTTTTTTTTAAATTTTAATTTTATACACATATCAACTTGAATATCTTTTAACATTTTTTTATTTACTTTTCTCTCGTTTTTTTTTCTTTCCAGGTACGACTGATGTGCAAACAGCTACTATACATATCATTTTTGGAGATACCACTGGTTTGGACCTTTCCTCCGTCCATAGCAATCATTCTTTATTAAGGCTTTATGCTAGTGTCCTCAGTTATGGATACCTCGGTGATGTCATACGCGATAGCGAGAAATTTCGATGGATGGGTCCTCAAAGATACGATTATTCTGGTAAAAAAAAAAACAAAAATAAAATTGAAAATCTAATATCTTCTTTATTTTTTCTTTTTTTTTTATATTGATAATGATACTTATACTTTGGATGTAAAGTATTTTGAATTCTTATAAATGTCATTAAATCATGTTTAAAGATAAACTCTTAGCATGAATGCTTATAAATTATTCATCTATTCATATTGAAAGCTATGAATACATATTTGTTCTGAGAATAAGGAAGCAAAACAGTTAGCAGTTAAATATTATTATATTTGTTTATTCTCTATTGACAAAATGAGTAACGGTGTTTTTGTGTTCTTTTTTTTATAGGTTTTAAAAAAATTATTGCAAACAAAGGATATGAAGGTGAAATACAATTACTTTCTGATCCCTGTAATCCGGCAGCTAGTACTAGGTGCATGAAAAATTGTTCCAGATGTTTGCAACATATGCACAATTGTGTTCCCGATAAAGAAATTTCAAGTATGTAATAGAACAATTTTATTATTGTTATTATTATTATTATTATTATTATTATTATTATTATTATATTGATTTTATTTGAATAATTAAATCGGTAATTGTAATTGTATTCATTGTAATAAATTTATTGTATAGGGTGGTTGACGGTCCAGGGTAAATTTTTTATGGTTAATGGTGCGAACGTGTCATGTGCTTGTTCGAGAAGTCCAATGGGTTTTAGCCCACATTGTCATATAGGTGATGGTTGTGTCGACGTTATTTTAGTAAGACACACGTCCTTCATAAACAATATTAGAATGTTATTAAGACTTTCTAGCAAACAAAAAACTCTGGTAAGATTTATTCATTAAAATATAATATAGAATTTGAAATAATAAAGAAATAAAAATAATCTTGATCTTAATTTATTTATATTTCTTTTGTTACAGTATGATCTACCTTTCGTCGAGGTTTACAGAGCAAGAGAATTCACATTCCGTGCCCTGCCAACGTTGCGTTTGCAGACTGAAAATAATATCCAAAGATCACAGAAAAATTCAGGCCTTAGCGTATGGAACTGCGATGGTGAAGTTATCGATAATTCTAATGTCAAAATAAGGTTAGAATCAAAAATTTACAATGAAAACAAATTAAATGAACAAATAACGACAATCATTAATTTTTATTAATTAGGGTACACTGCCAGTTGGTGAAAGTTTATACGAGACGAGCTCAAGATTCAATACCAAACTCTCCATCTTGTTTTTGTGCCCTATGAACGTTTTAGTTTTATTATTAGTACAAGAACAATTGAAAAATAAAAATAAAAAAAAGAAGAAGAAAAAGAAAAGAGTAACGCGTAAGAAGGATTTCGGAAGAATCAATTTGAAAATTTAAATAGTAAGTATATTGAGTCATTTCAGTGGTTTGCAAATGGCATCGATTTTACAAAGTTCCTTTCGAAGCTTGCCCTTAACAAATGATATGTAATATCGTCCTAAACGATACTCATTTAATCAAAGTTTACATCATTTTATCGACAACTATTATTGACCATCGAATACGTCCTGATAAGAACATCATATTTTTAAAATCGTTCTGACAATTTCCGTTATTTCCTTGATATATCTCTTTTAAAAAGTGCTTGAAAACAGGAACCATTTTCTGATAAACATCAGAGAAATAATTTACGTTTTATAATTGAAACAAACTATTATTGATCCAAAATCGAAAGAAATTTCATATTTTTTTTCTCTATCAAATTATAAATGATTAATAATTAGAAAATCAATATGAAATATAAAATTGATTTCAACAATTAAAATATAGATTAATATTGAGAAAAGAAAATATAAAGAAAACAAAAGAATAGAATTAAATAAGTATAGATATATTTATTTGAATGAATTTCTTCCCAAATAGGATTCTGTTCTGTTCAAAGAGTCTTTTTCAGATAATTATGTTACATTAGTATTATTATTATTGTTATTACCTTCCTCATTATCCTTATTAGTATATTATTATTAATATTACTATTAAGATCGTTATAATATTATTATATTATCATAAGTATTATTACTGCTGAATTATATTTAGGCTAATTTATAAATGAATCGAACATAGAACAAGTGATGATATAATAGTCATTGTATATAGTGAAAGAAAAAGAAATATAAGATTGACGAAGTATACTTATCATAATTTCATCGAATTTAGAATGAGGGAGAACAAGAAATTGAAGAATAGGATAGAATAAACAAAAAAAAGTACATTGGTCAAGAAACTGTGATTGAGTCTGTGTTTAACAGTTTTCGTACTTAAATTAAATAAAAATTCGACTTATTTATACTCTTTTGTAGTAATTTAGATTTTAGAAAGCTTCCAAGGATTGAGAAAGTTTCTAATTCGAATGTGAAATTGAATTACGAAACGACGTAAACAGAAAAGACTTTGAATAATGTATGCAACTCTGCTGATGTAAACACAAGTTCGCGTAAACGAGTACATATTTTGTATTGTTCCTTTTTTTTCTTTTCCTACGATATTTTTTGAAAGATGAATTATGGCAGAAGAAAATATGCACTCGTTTAAAACCGGCGGGGGTACGTTTATAAAAATTGTAGCACTTTATGTTGCAGTACGAATTAAAATGCAAAAAGAAAAATGAAAAACAAATGGCATTCCAAAGTAAAATGATTATGTTAAAGATATGTATGTATGTATGTATTATTGTTATTTTTATTATTATTATTTTATACGAGAATTTTCTTAGTAAACTATTTTTGACAAGTATTAACAATATCGAGTATTAATCATTTAAAATAGAGCTCTTCCGAATGAAATAGTGCACACTTCTTATAATGAAATTTAAAATTAGATTCTTTTTTTAAAAAATAATACTACGATGTTATATTTTTTTATCGTTGTATTTGGTGTTTCGTACGAAAAAGAAAGAAACAAAGGTTATGAGAGTGTGAGAGAGAGTGAGAGAGAGAGAGAAAGAAAGAAAGCGTAAAGAAAATTCAAAAAAAAAAAAATAAAGAAGAAAATGTTTCATGGTTGTGCAAATTCTAAACGACCAAGTAAAGAAAAAAAAGAATGAAAAAAATGCTTTTAATTAAAAATAACATTTGTAGTTTGTACAAAAGACGTATCGAAAGTCTCAAACATTCGAAACGCATTTACGTCGAACGAAACGACAACGCCTCTCTGATATTATACTTCGAAAAATCGATGGGTATTTATTGTGCGTTTTATTAGCACAACTTAACAAGAAGATTATTTAAATAAATATTAATATTATTTTTTAGAGAAATACAAATTTTAAGAGAAACAACAAATAAATAAGATTTTAATGTATGTGTGTGTGTATATATATACAATTAGTTACAAAAGTAATTAGTAAAACTATCATTAAATTTAAATATTTCATATTTTCTTGTAATGTTGTAAAAATTTCAAATTGACAGTGGAGGAATGGTTACGAATACAATACTTTTGTAAGTCACTGTATACACATACGCATACACATACCCATATATATATATATATATATATTATGAAGAACTTCTTTATAAATATATATGTATATTTATAAAGAAACTCACAACGGACCTTTTTGTGATGATGAATTGTAATACGTCACGAATAATATTATTATTATTATTATTATTAAATTTCGATTGTATGAATATGATAAGGGAATCACCGATAAAAAAATATCGATTCGTCGATGCAATTAAATAAAATTATACATCACTTTTTACCAGAATATTATTATTGTCGTCGTCGTCGTCGTCGTCGTCGTCGTCGATATTTTGAACCACCATCTTCTTCCAAAAATTCTGAAAATAAACTGAAAATAAATTTACAGGAATAGGAAGATAATACGATATATTTTTTGAAGGATGCTAATGGGTTGATAATTAATAAAAGAGAAAAAAAAAACAAAGCAAAATAATAAAATATAAAAAATAAAAAAATATATAAAGAAAATCTATCTATATTAATCTAATGTGAGATAAAAAAGTCATGATGATTTGTAACATTCTTTTAATCATCGCCATTATAAAAGCACCGAGTATGTACCAAGTTATGTGTCAGTGTTTCTGTTGTATTATTATGCACTTATGTGTTCTATGTATAATAAGTAAGTATGTCCTAAAAGTATATAATAACGTAATTTAATACGTACGTATATACATTTTTATTTCTGTAGAATATTATTTGTGTTTATATGTGTATACCATATATATTATATTATCTATGGTTGCGCTTGTGTGTACGTATGTGTATGTGTATGTGTCCTGTGTGAATGTGACTGCAGGTATAAATAAACTAATAGTTGGACTTTTTTTTTCTATAGTCCCCGCTCGTTTTCATATTTTTTGTTTATTTTTTGTTTTTTTTTTGTTTTTCCTTTTGTTTTACTTATGGGTATTTTTTGGGTGTTTATTTTTTTTTTTTAATTTTTTCTTCCTCTATCTCTCTCTTTCTTATTTTTATAATTCACTCTCACTCTCTGTCTCTCTCTCTCTCTTTTTTTTTTATTTCATAAATCATGCACACCTTATCTACAATCTCTACATGATCGTTAGATCCTTACCTTAGATTAATCGATCTATCTATCGATCCTTCTTTAACACGCAAAAGATACGACACGCACGGACGAGATGATGATATAATAATAATAATCATTTTCAAATAATAAAATACATGTATATACATATACATATATTTTGTTCATTGAATTTTATAAACGTAGACGTAAAACAGACGAATTTATAAAATTATTCCTGTGATATTTCATTTGTTGTATATCGAAAAAATTGCAAATTGCGAATGAAGTTCTAAGTTTTCTAATTGTTAATTAATTGATAAATTTTCTGGACAAAACGTATAGTAATAATATTAATAATAATTAGCGCGATAATGTGACAAATAAGCATTCTAATTCATCATTTTTCTAATCTCATCATTGACACTCCCATTTGCTTAATTACTCAATTTTATTATTATTATCATTATTATTTTTTTAATCACTATTATTATTATTATATAATTAGTATATAATTATTAATAATATAATTAATATTAATATTAATATTATTATTATTATTATTATTATTATTATTATTATTATTATTATTGCTTTCGCTACCCTTATAGTAATAAACCTCATTCGATATTAAATCGATCGAACGATTATTAAATATATCACTGATCATTTATTTATTTTTTTTTTATTCACCATTATTTATTCCCCCATTGGTGTTTTTCTTTTTGCATTTCAATAGTTTCTCACTTCTCTCTCTCTCTCTCTCTTTTTTTTTTCTATCTCGTTATGTTGAATATTTTTAGGGGAGGTTGGGTGGATGAGTTTACAGTTCCGCCATTATTACCACAACACAACCTTTACGATTTTGTTCCTTTATTTGATATTTTATTCTCTTTAATTTTCTTTTTTTTTTGAGATTCCTCCTACTCCCCTCATCCACCCTCGAACATCCCGACAAAAAAGATTGTTTTTTTTTCTCTCTCTCTCTCTCTCTTTCTTTCTTTAATCGAGTTGACATAACCTCGTTCGCAGCGTATTATACTATTTTAGTCTAATCCCTGATATATAACATGAACAATCTCGTTCACAATCTCTCGTAATATAAAAAAAAGGATCGTGAGACGAAAATACAATGTCGGACGTCACGGCGAAAAAGCGTTTGTTTAGTCGTTTTTTCTTTATTTATTTTTTTTTTTTTTTTTTTAAGGGGGGGCGAGAATATTTTTTCTTTTTTATTACTATTAATATTATTATTATTATTATTATTATTATTATTATTATTATTATTATTATTATTATTATTATCATAATCGTCCCATTTCTTTCCGCATAAAATCCTTTCTCTTCTCTCTCTTTCTTTTTTTTTCTAATAATCGATACGCAGTAGGCATGTATGTGTATGTATGTATGTATGAGTGTGTGTGTGTGTGTATGCGATTTTCGAATATTTTCTTCTCTCGTGTCGTCCATGCGCGCACGTCTTTTTTGTGTTTCACCCCTTTTTCACCCCTTCTTTGACTTTATTGCCGTTTATATGTTTAGGATCGTTAAGCGAGTTTCCTTGTCATCTCACAAATTTTGTTCTTTTATTTGTTAATCGTTTCCTTTATTCGTGTTTGTATTTATCTGTTTTGTTTGTCTGTCTTGTTTCAATCTTTTTTCAATCTCATTCTCTCTCATTCTCTCTTATGTAATTTTCTCTCTCTCTCTCTCTCTCTCCCTCTTTCGCATTTTCACCTACTTTGTACAACCGTACTACAAGATACGCTAATGCTCAATAAATATTCGATAAATATATCATTGTATTTCATATAATATATGTATATCATCGTATTGCCATATTAATATAGTAATAATAATCGCACTATGTCATTATCATCATGATCATTATCATCATCCATCATCATCATCATCATCATTATCATCATCATCATCATCATCATCGTTAGCAGCAGCAGCAATAGTATTGACGTTATCATAATCGTTGTTTATTCTTGGGACCTTTATTATATATTATTATTATTATTATTGTTATTATTATTCGTGTGTATTGTTAATGTTAATCCTAATATTAATTGTATCGCTATTTTTTATTATTATTATTATTATCATATATTTTATATTATAATTATAATTGTTATTGTGTTATTATTTTATTAGTATTATCATTATTATCAGTATTATCGCAAAACCGT